CTTGTCTGCTGAGAGACAGTTTTGGTATACATGCGCCTTGCATGTCATGAGCGTTATAGAAGGTCACGCATTGTAGGCCCGACGTCAGCAGCGTCGAGCATATCATAGTAAGTTCGCCAGCGCGGGTGAACGGTATCAATGGGAATCACGGGATTTCATTCATCTATATTATCAGAAGCATAGCAGTTAGCCCACAGGTCCAAGCAGCAAACCAAACTGCAGTACCATTTGGCGGAAATAAATCACGTGCCGACAAGGAAGCAGCATGGTCCTAGAAAATGAACAAGTGCAATCCCAGTTCTCCGTGTCCACTGTGTACTCGAGATTTCCTCTCCCACTGCTGCTCACGCGATATACGTTACTTCGTGTCTGTTTGTACGCCATTATCGTCGATATCTGAAGTCACATACCAGTACGGAATTACATACGATCACACACTGCCACAAACTCTCACATGCGTCACTTACTTTAGTTGCATACGCGTATCCAGGAAAAACTAGCCCTGCTGCGTGGTCAGTAGTCTTGTTTAGCAACTGGTTCATCTCCTCATCGTACTCAACGTGCCTAGTCACACCGATCCGCTGCATACCATGCACAAACACAAGTAAGCCCAGCTACTACTATTTAACCAGGCACAAACTAACATTAGTTTTTCGTGTGAATTCGCGCTCCTTTAGCAACTGAAGCGCTATGATTGTCTCCATGCACTCATCTAGCGGTGTATCAGCATTCAGCTCAGGCTTGAGCTTGCTCCACCCTGACTCGATGCGGTTCTTTGTGTTGTTCCCCAAGTGGGGGATATCCAGACGTAAATACTCGACCCAACGCTCCCGACAACCATCCCAATTATCGTTAAAATATTTCACGAATGGATGAATATCTTCCACGCCACCTTCCTCAGCGTCCTCGACATCTGACAGTACTTCCTTCTTCTTCTTCTCACGCCAAAACCGGTTCAGCTCACCAAATAGATCATCACGAGCTTCCAAATAAACAAACTCCGTTTTTGCGAATACCATTTGCTTGACAGACAAAAGCATACGAGTTTGAAGTTCATTGCTAAAATCACAACGAGCTGCGTATAATGTACCACGATGGCAGTTAGTACTTACTTGTCTCTGAAATCCATCTTGCGAACGTACTTTTGATCTGCTTGAACCACTTCAACACATGAAAACGACAGAGAAGAACTCGTGCATTAGGAAACATATCTTCCAACACACCAATTTCTGTCATGTCCTAACCAACCTGTACAACAAAAACAAAATAGTAACGTAAATTACCACATCAACGTTGGCGTTAGCTTGTGGCGCACCATAATTACTTCAACTTGACTCCAATCAGAGTTATTGGCTTGAAAGGCTTCAATAGCATTTTCCATGTTTTCACTGGTTTCTTGGTCGACAAACACATGCTGGACAAATTGCCCCTTTCCATAGGCATCCATGACCATGAAGGAAAACAGCTTGTACCGGAGATCGTTTGTCTTGTGTGTCACATCAATTAGTAAAATCTCTGGAAATAAAGCAAAAATCTTTCTCATGCCGACAGTTTGAAATGTTAAGCATGTTGCAACGTTGCCATCATTCACGCAGCGTTGAGCTACGCTTCCAGGGTCCACCTT